TATTATAAGAGACGATTTTGCTTCCCTTTTTTCTTTTTCTTTTTCTTTTTTCTGATTATAGGTTAGTAGTTTCTTTTATTTTTTAATCACTAATGACTTTTTTTTAGACTATCACTGGTCTATTTTTTTTCTAATAAACAATGTTCCGAAAAAAACACATTCCTTTTTTTTTCCTTGTGTTGCTGAATTCATTTAGAATATTTGTGGGATGTGCGAGTCAGGCGACTACATGGCAAAATTATAATAAAGAAAGGAAGCAGAAGTATCAGGAATTGGGGTAAATAATAGTCTTCTACAAAGAAGTGTCTCTGATATGTTTTGGTTATACTTTTTCCTTTTCTTATATATATACAAATGGTACCAAAAAGTGGTCTATGCTTATACCATGTTTAATTATTTTAGTACATGTGAAATGTGCCTCTGTTCTGCTTTTTTTATTCAGTACATAATTATATATGAAATTATTTACAATTGATTCTACTCCTATCATGATCATTGTGCTTTTGTTTTTTTTTAACTCATTCTGCTTCTATTTTTTTTTGTTGATTATGTTGCTACTTCGGTTTTGTTGTCCTGTGTTGCTTCTGTTTTTTTTTATCCTCATTCTGCTTCTTTTTTTTTTGTTGCTGATTCTGCTGCTGTCTTGATTCTGCTTCTTTTGTTGTCCTACCCTGTCATATGAAAATGTATACAATTGTTAGTATTTGTTTGAATTTAAATGTTTAAGTTATGACTGTTATTAAGATTTGAGATATTATTAGTGTTTGTTTTAATTTAAATGTTTATGGTTTTACTTGCATTTAAATATTTAGTATATATAAAATTAGAACTTAGATTGTTTAGAAGTAATTAAACTAAAATATATATATTTTTTAACTGTTCGCTTGTTTCGGTAAAGCGTGTCGCTTCACTTCTCACTTCTCGCCTAGGCGTTAGGAGCTTTGGTCACTTCGGTTTGCTTTACGCCTTAAATAACACTGGCATTAGATGTAGTAAGAAAAGGTGTACCAAGTATAACCGGGATTTGGGAGCAAGGGTTAGCAACAGGGTGAGTTTCAAGCACAATGAAATTAACAGGAAAATAAAAGTTATCCACTTGAACCAAAACATCTTCAACCACTCCCTTGGTGTTTGAATGCTTCGATCAGCCAACTGAAGAGTGATTGAGGTTGTCTTCAACTCTTCAAGTTGGAGTTGCTTATACACAGAGTAAGGTAGGAGATTGACACTAGCCCCCAAGTCAAGCAATGCTTGCTCTACTCGGAAATTTCCTATTGTGAGGTTGATTTTTTCTTGCTTGAATATTTCAATTATATTAGAATAATTAACCACCTTGACGGGTGGTTTCAAACGACTAGGAAAGGGAGAAAGCATGGGGAAAACAAGCACTATTATCAATCAATTTTTCTTGCTCACCTACCTCATCACTCACCTCACCCTCCTCAGTGTCACATTTGGTCTCTTCTTCAATTGGCAATGTGGTTTTGGGTGAGACCTTTGGCACAACGGTCTTTTCGATTTGTTTGCCACTCCGAAGAGTGGTGACCGCCTTGAGTTGCTCACAACTCTCTTTGTTGGGCTCGGACAACTCAATCACATGTTGGCCCTTAGTGTTCTCTTGGGGTTGAGCGGGGAATTTTCCCTTCTCTTGTTGTGATAACCCTATGGCATTGGTAATTTTTGTGAGTTGAACCGAAATGTTGTTGTAAAAGGTGGTTTGGCTTTGGATGAAATTGTAGAGCACATCCTCCAAGTTCCTCTTATGGGGAGGTTGGTAGGTGGGAGGATTGGATGGTCCTTGATGAGAAAAGATTTGTGGAGGTGGACTTGGTGAAAAATTTTATGGTGGTGGGTTTGACGAATACCCTTGCGGATTAGTCTTGGGATATTGGGAGCTAGATGCTTGCCCTTGGTTTTGGTATTGACCTTGCTTAGAAGGCACGGGAGGTGTGTATGTATTTGAACCATGAGGAGTGGGGTTCTCATTTCTCCAACTAAAATTAGGGTGATTGCTCTAACCCGGATTATAAGTATTCAAATGTGGAGAGAATGATTGTCTCGTTTGGTTAAAGGTATTGACTTGCTCGTGATATACTTTCTTAAGTGTCGGAATGTTGGGGTACTCCGATATGGAATGCTCCACACTCTCACAAATTGAGCAAGCCTCCTTGGTTTGTGACACATTAGACACCTTGTGTCTCCTATTGACTTCAAGACTCAACTTTCCTTGAAAATTTAACAATATTTGAAAGCAAGTCTTCCCGGTCTCTCAAGTCATATATCCCTTCCCTTGTGGTTGACTACTACCCAAGGACGTCCTAGGTACGTCGTTGGGACCCCTAATGTCCCAAGATTGTGCATTTTGGGTCAATGTACTAAAGTAGTCAAGGGCCTCATTAGGGTTTTTGTTCAAGAACTCGCCATTACACATCATGTCAATTAATTGTCTATGGGTTGGTGTGATTCCTTCATAGAAGAAACTTACTAGTTACCACGATTCATATCCATGATGTGGTATGTATTGTAACAACTCCTTGTAATGATTCCAGCATTGATAGAATTGCTCGTTAGGCTTCTCAGAAAAGTTTTGAATTTTCTTTTTTAAAGCAGTGGTTTTATGAACTGGAAAAAATGTATTCAAAAAATCAAAAAGCATTTGAGCCCAAGAGGTAATGGATCGAGGTCGCAAGGCATTCAACCATGATTTGACTTTATCTCTGAGGGAGAAAGGAAACAATTTCAATCGAGCTATGTCCTCCATAGCATAGTTAGTATTGAAGGTTGTAACTATGTCCTTAAACTCTTTTATGTGCAAGTAGGGGTTTTCCTTTTCAATTCCATGGAATGTAGGAAGTAGTTGTAACATTCTCGGCTTAACTTGGAAGAGTTGAGCTTGAACCGGTAAGAGGATGCATGAGGGTGTGGTGCTACAAGTTAGTTGAAGGAAATCCCTCGTAGATCTCGCCGGAGGATCCATTTGGATGTTATTCCCTTCATTCATGGGAAGGGAAAATTGCATTCGTGGATTAGGTGTTCTAGGTTTGGGCACTCCCCCATCCCTTTGAATGTTTGGATTGGCACCAACATTATCAAAATTATCATCCGCATCCTCAGGTGGGTCTTGATCAATATTCATGTTAGGGCCTATGGGTTGTCTAACCAATCGATTTTGTTCGTCTCGTCCCCACATGTAACAAACTATCTACAAATAAAATTATACACAAACAAGAATATGTATACGGAACAACATACCTCCGCCCATGATGAAGGTCACAGGACTTACCTCCATTGTACGAAAATTACCCTCTCGATTTGACACTTTGCCTTCGTCGGCAACAGCACCAAAAATGGTTGATCCTTTTCATTGTAATATCCTAACCTCCAGACATCATCCCTCAATATATGTATGGTATGTGTGAAGGAGTGTTACTCTCCCTTGGAATGATGTCAAAAGAAAGGACAATAGAATGATGGATGAATGAATTGTCAAATGTGTGTGTGTGAACAAAAATGTTCCCCAAGCTCAGAGAGATTTTTGTTTGTTGTGTTTTACTTGGAATCGTATTACAAGGTCGTCTCCTCAGGGAAGGAAGTGAATCATTTTGAAGGTAATTCTGGTGAAAAACAAAGTGTAAAATCTTTTGTTGTTGAAGTTTGGTTTGTGATTTTGTCTTAACGACATTGGAATGGAAAAAATGTTGGCTAATTCAAAGGGTTCACTCCAATGGGATTACCAAGTCAGCTTGAATCATTCTTTCAATAGAGCATAGATGTACGATTGATTCGTGAGAAGCAAGGGACGATATGGAAGTGAGGATCCAAGCATAACCATGACAAGTGTATGGGATATCAAAGACCCACAATTTCGTCCACCCTCTACCCAGTCAAACCGAACTATCGTACTCTGAGAGAAGGGAAAATGAGTTGAAATGACATATCCAATAGGAGGTTTTCCTTGGATTAATCAATTTAAAGGCTTAGCTACTCATGCTTAAGGTAAAGACAACAATGTAATGAGAAGACATTAGGAAGAAATAAAGATTGGAGCTAAGCATAAACGAAATGCACAATTATAACTTTCGGATAATTATACATGTCCATCACCTCTTACTAAAGATTGGATGAGAAATTACTCACTCTTCATGCTCTGGTAGAGTTAGAAAAGTGAGTGATGTCCATCCCTCCAAGTAGAGGAGTTGCAAGGTAAAATATTACACACGAAGCAATCTTTGATAAAGAATGGGTGAATCACGTTCCACCCTTCACGACTTTAGTAAAACTCTAGAAAAGTGGAAGAGTTTCACTCCTCCAAGGGAAGAAGGAAGCTCAAGACAATGGAAATAAATGAAAGCAAAAAATTAAAAAAAAGCAATAATACAATAAAATAAAACAATAATAAGAAAATAATAATAACTTTTAGAGGGTTATCCACTACTAAAATGTGCTCTTTTCAAGAAAGTAATGATACAAGAAAGTTATAATGACTTTTGAAAGGTTTTTCACTACCAAAAGATGCTTTTTACAAGAAAGATGATACAAGAAAGCAATAATGACTTTTGGAGGATTTTTCATTACCAAAAGATACTCTTTACAAGAAAGATGATACAAGGAAAAAAAGATGATCTTTACAAGACCCAAGGGGTGGTATTTATAGGCAAAAAGGGAGGGCTTGAATTATACTTTGATCCCCCTTTGTTTTGAGCTTTTGATAATTGGCACCCTATAGTTTGTAGCTTTGATAATTGGCTCCCCAGTGATTTGTAGTTTTGACGCAATTGACTCCCCAATAGTTAGTAGCTTTGATGCACAAAACCCTAAAAAGAACAACAATTAATGGACTATCCTTAATTCACACACTAATCCTAATTTGACTTATTTTAACTAGTTTAACTTTATTTAACTAACACAATTGACCTATTAACTTAATGAAATTATGCCTTAATTAGGGTTAATCAGAAGACTGTGTATTGGGTTTGTTTATAGCAGGCTGTGTATTGTAGGTGGGAAGGCGATGGACTGGTATAGGTTTAGCGATGGATGGGCAGTCCGTACTTGGTTGTATGCTCTCGGTGAAGCTGTGTTATCGGTTGGGCAGTTGGTGGGAAGCTGTTGGCTCTTGTCGATGAAGAGAAAGATGATGAGGGAAGGATGGTTTTTGGTTGTCAGTGGAGGGTTGCTGGTTGTCATGAGTGAGCAACAGCTTGGAGGTTTGGTTGGCTGGTTTGTTTTGCGATGATTGGCAGAGGCTAGGTTTAGGTTTAAGGTTGGTGGCTCTGATACCAACTAGAGATGTCTATGAGTGAAAATGGATACCCAAACTAAGAGTAGAGCCCCATTCATATAGCCAAATAATAGTACAAAGTGGCCTAAACATCCTTGTGGTCTATGCAAAATATAAAAGTCATAGTAAGGGAAAAACATAAACTAGAAGAAACTCTAATAAACTAGACTATACTCTAACAATTTCTACTATTATATATAAATCTTATCAGCCTTATGACAAGACAATTTTTTATGAATAATATTATAGAGGAGGCGTGTCTCTCTTTTTCTCAATTATTCTTATATTCATAGGAATCAACAAATTTGTTGAAGCTTTTATGACTAATATTCTGTGTGAATCAACAGACCAATGGTAGGATTCTAACCGTTATTTGTTCACAAATCAATGGTTTAGTTTTATTTTGTTTTATTATCCTCCTTTCGTTCATTAAACCCTTGTTTTTACTTGCTTTCCTACATCAATCTTTGAAATTTACTAAAGGGGCTCAACTTCCCACAAGAAAAAATGAAAGAGATATTTGTTGACAACAAATTGACGCTCACTTTGGTGAAAAGTCTAGTGTTTTATGATCGAAGCAAGCATATTGACACAAATCACTTCATTAGAGAACATGTAGCTAAGGAGGAGGTTCATTTTGAAGTTTGCAAGGTCACATGATCAAGTTGCCGACATTCTCACCAAACCTCTAAATTATGAAGTCCTCCATAGTTACAATCCCTCCTTGGAGTTACAAGATCAAGCTTAAAGGTGCTGGTAGAAAGTAACATTGATCTTAGACCAATATTATAGTAAGCCTAAGAGTTTTCGAGTCTTTGATAGATCCATGTTACATGTGTAGACTTGACCCACTTCCTAGTAGTTTCTTGTATAGAACATTCTAGCAAGTCTTGTAAAAATATTGTGACTCTAATTTGAAGCTCATCTTCATCTCGGCAAAATCCCAAACAATTGGTCCCAATGTTCGTAGCCATTGTGCACTAAGAACAGCGTCATAGCCTTGTCGCGAAAGAAGGAAAAAATCCACTTCCATGAGTATTCCTTGTAATCAGGGATCAAAATTTTGTTTCGAAGTACCGTTTCGGTCATCTAAAAAACGAAACGTTTCGGAAACGCAATGGAAACGCGAAAAAATATCGAAACGCGTGGAAACACAAATACAATCCATTAATCTATAAAGATAAGCTAAATAATTGATTAATTCAACATATTTTTTGACTTAACATCCATTTATACAAGAATAAATTTAAATTGGAGAGAAAAAAAGACTTGACATGAGGCAAAAATCACTTAAATTAGTTTTAAACACTTAATTTTTATCAAATAAACACATTTTTATATAATATTAAGGTCTCATAATACACATGAAATGCTAATGAGTACATACTTACATGGTTACATCCATCCCCCTGTGGAGTGTCTAGCAGGCTCATACATTGGTGTAGGCTTTAGGTAGCTATTTAGAGAAACTTCATATGTGACATAAATATGATGACAATAGTTACTCCAACTCATTATTACAATAATATGAATTATATTCTCTCCCAAATCTCTAATAGTTTGCAACACTACATTTTGTTGGGGAACAAATGCATCAGTCCCTGACCAATCTTCATCTTGTCTATATAAGGAGGATGTCTGGGAGTTATAGCCAGATCCATAACCATATGTTGAGGATCCATATTCGTATCCTCGTGTGTCATACCCCGATCCATAATCATATGAGGGAATACCATATTCAAAACCATAATCATATGAAGACCACGAACCATAATTATGGTGTTCACTTCCACTTCCACTTCCACTTCCACTTATACTTATGGTAGAAAAACCATCATTAATCATATCAGCTCCATGCCTAATAGCACCCATACCATGTGGAGTGATCGGATTTTGAGTACGCTCACGTTGACAATCTCGAGTTCATATTGAAGCATTCGTCGAGAGCCATGATCTTCATCTTGTATAGCATGTGTAAATCCTTCCTCTACAGTGAATACAATTCCATGTGGAATTTGGCTCCCCATACCTCCATCCATCGCCTCCATGTCCATGGCTATCATCACCTCCACTGTCACCATCTCCACTACCACCACCACCACTATCTTCATCATCATCTTCACCACCATCATCATTGCTACCATCACTATTATGATCATCCTCAGTACTACTAGTGACAGTGATAGGTTGCTTACGTCTTGGTAGATCTCTTATTAGTCTGTCAAAATCTTCATCATCCATTGCTTTACTTGATCCTCCTCTACTTATTTTGGATTTTGATTTTCGTGGTGGCACAACACCTTGATTTAGGCCAACTCCTCCATCATCATCGAAAAACGATTTGCTCACGTCGCTAGGAAAGTGTTTGGTCTTGTTGATTGCCTATCATCATCAAGTTCATCTAAAAGTGCATCACCAGGATCATCTAACCACTCTGAAATACCTTCATCTTCGTAAAAAACAGTGGTTAAGTCTATAGGCCTGAATTCATACCCTTTTTTTTTTGTCCTTCATAAGGTGCTTTAACTTCAACCTCATGTTATATTGTGCAAACACCAGCCTTTCTAACTTTTGATAATTGAGTCTATTCCGCACTTTAGTGTGAATGAGAGCAAATGTGCTCCAGTTTCTCTCACAACCACTAGATGAAGCTGTTTGCGACAATATTCTCATAGCAATCTTTCTCAAATTTGGAGCATCAGTGTCATACATAAACCACCATTCAGCTGCATAATAATAAGAAACATATTAAAACCTTAAAGAAAAATATAAATAGAAAATCATCAGAACAAAATATAAGTGTGTAAATAATTTACTTAATTACCTGGATCACTTTTTGTTCTTCCTCTAATTGCAGCTTGGTCAACAAAACAATACATGGCCTCCCGAAATATTTTTACCTAAATATCATGGGTATATTGATGTTATATATTAATTCAGCACATTTGTAAATGGAGATTGAAATACTAAAGTATTACCTCTGCAAGTGCTTCAGCAGCCTTGTTTGGATTTGTTTCTAGTCTAGACACAACGATCCGAAGCGAACCCAAGAAATTTTTTAATACACCATCTTCTTCTTCATAATGGTATGTGGGGTTCAAGTAATAAGCTACACAATATAAATAATAATAACACTTATAAATAACATCCAAAATGATAACACTTATCAATAATAAAAATATAAATTGATAAACAATAAGTTTACCTGCCATATGAATATGTTGAATGATTTGTTTTTTTCATCGAGTATCAATGATGTCAAGATATATTTTACACAATTTAGGAGCCGCATCTTTGACAGCTTGTCTTGCTCATTTCATTGCTTCATATACATATAGCATTGTTGTTTTTCTTTCCTCATCCACCATTCTTAGAACTTTTGCAATAGGTGTATGCATATTCAACACATTTTTGGCGGTCTCCCAAAATTTAGGATTTAGAATTGTCCCTTGAACTCGCTTTCCAACTGGATCCTTTACTGCCGCAATCCTAGACCAATCTTCTGAAGTAAACATTCTTTGCAAACCATTTCTCTGCTCCAACATACTTTGTAAGGCAATATAATTAGTGGCAAATCTTGTTTGCCCTGGCCGAATCAATTCCCCTGAACAAAATGTTTTCATTATATCCAAGACTCTATTATGATTATAAATAAAATTGGTCACTCTTTTAGCTTGCTCTAGCACATTTTGAACCGTTTCAATCTTGGAAAAATCATGCAAAATCAAATCTAGAGAGTGGGCAGCACAAGGAGTCCAATATAGGTGTGGTCTTATTTTCATCAACATTTCACCATTTTTTTTGTATGCACTGCCATTGTCTGTAATAATTTGAACCACATTTCTCTCCAATCTCTTCAACAACAGCATCCATCAGTCCCAAAATATAGTTAGCATCCTTGTCATGACCAGAACTATCAATTGACTTGTGGAAAATAACTTTTCCATCACAATATATTAAAAAGTTAATGATAGATAATCTTGTGGTGGATGTCTATCCATCACACATAATTGTCACTCCATAAATCTCTCACTTCTTTTTGAACTGGTCAATGTACAATTTAAGCTCATCTATCTCATTATCTAGCAATGGTCCGCCAATCTCATATGGGGTTGGGTCTTTCACACCCACACCAGCTAAAACAATTTTATCAATCATCAATTGGTAAAAATGACCTTGAGCTTTGCTTGGTGGAATATTCTCATAAATGAAATACTTTGCAATAGCATGTTTTGCCGACTTTGTCCACTTTTTGGGATTCCACATATGAGTTAGCTTGGTTTGCTTCACTTCTCTATTTCGATACATTGAAGGATCCATCTCTTCTATCGTGAGATCCTTTTCTCTGCCCATCCACTTTTGTGATTTTCTTGAGAATTTATCCCAAGATTCCTTCACACTATGTGAGCGCATTAAACCCCTAGATGTACCACCTTTTTTGATAGATGGTCTAGAACTTCCTCCTCTAAAACCTTGCTCGGCCATATGTATATCACAAATAGATTGTTGTTTTGCATACTCAATATCAGCTCTATATTCTATATCCATATCATCATCTAAATTCTCATCGGAAGAATAAATTTCGATACCACTCTTCCATCTCGATCCACCAATTAAATTCTGTCTCATTTTTTTCCGTTCATCAATCACTTCTACATTTTCAGTCTTGTTGCGATTCAAGTAATCCCTCATAGCTCTCGCAATTTCAATAAGACACTTATCACATTGTTCCACATTATTATAATCGTTTGCCAAGTGTTGCTTTAACCGTGACACACCGCCACCCATCATTTTTTTATGGCAAAAATTATACATTACATGTTTTCGATTATCCCCAATTCGTTCGCCGTAATTCCATCCAATATCACGTTTTTTTTTTGCGATGATTTAATAACCACATTCTTTCCCTTTGATGTCATATCTACAATAAATATCATTACGTTATTAAATATATT